GAAATGACACTGAACAAATGAAAACGTAGCAGCCAAGCATGGAAAATGAAACAAAGGACAACGCTAATGAGGCTAAAAGGATAACGAAAGGTGCACGACTGAACAAAAATAAAGAAAAAATTAAGAAAACAAAACTGTGTCACATTGTTTTGACACACTGCCGGAAGGAAATTAAAAGGTGGTAAAATTAGGTTTGAATAGTTAGAAAGTTTAATAAATGAATGGAAATAAATTAGGTAAAGTTTATTAGCATTTGTGCCGTTCTCGAAAGGATAATTAACTGTAAGGCTTTAAACGGTATTTAATTTTAATGTGAATATTTGAGCGAGTAAATGAAGTTTAACTTTCTATAGGTTGTTTAAATGAAGGTGGCAGGAAGCTTAAGCAAAATATGTTTAAATAATGTGATGAAAACAAGCTTTGTTATAACTTAAACCAATTTAATTAATTTCAAAAATCAATATAAAATTTATTTTCATTATATTGACTTGATGCAATAGGCATTATAATATATAAAGAACTTCAGTAGCAGTAAAAATTATGTATTTTTTTTTTCTTATAAAAAATTCGAATTTATGAAATTACTTAATAAGTATAAATATATATTATATATATTATTTCTATACAGCATTAGGAGCTTATGGAGTCTACAAAAGTTTTCCACTGGCTTCTATTTTGTGTTATTGGTATCAACTCATTAAAAGATTTGCCCGTCTCCTACTGAACTGTCCATCTCCAGATCATTGCTGGTCTGCCTCTACGCCTAGTCCATAGTATAAATACTATGTATTAAATAATATGCCTTAATACGTTTTGTTATATCTGAAAAAAATTAAATGTATCACTTAAGTTATGGTCATCACTTCCCTAAAAAATAATAAAGAATAGCATTAGAAATCACTATATATCACTTAAGTAATGATGATTAGTTTCTTTACTTTAAAATAATAAGGAATAGTAATAAAAAAAAAAATAATTTTTGACAAACTTATTTCAAGTCAAACAAATTTTCAATATTAAGTTGAAATTTAGTTAAAGTTAAAGTCTAATTAAGAATCTACAAAGGTACCGCTTGCATTTGTTATTGTTTTTTCTATACAGCATTATGTTTCCATATCGTTTTTTCGATATCCTTCGCTGTTCAGACTTGAATCATCTCTATTCAAATATATATAATTAGAAAATATTTTCAAGATTGAAAAAATTTTTGAAGATTAATTCTTCTTGACTCTAAGCTTCATTTTCTCAAATAAAAATGTTTATGTCCCCAAAAAGGAAATAGTCTACAGTGACAGATTAATAATATAAGATCACTAAAGACTCAAGAGATAAAAGAAATATTAAGAGTCTATTCTTCACTCGAAAGTTAATATTCTTTACAGCACGAATAAGAACGTTAATATCCAAAAAAATGAATTATTAAAGGCGCCGGATTAAGCATATGGAATCAGAAAAGTTCTTCTTTATATCACCAAAAAATAAATAATCAAGACTAATTATATTGAATCATTGAAGAAATGTTAAGGGTTTCTACTTCACTGGAAAGTTCTCAAAAGCACGAATGTAAATTTTAATGTCCCTATTAAAAAATAATATCATCGGCAGTTGACTAAGAATCACAAAAAGGTTTCTGAAGAACGGAAAGATTTTGAGGGTCCCTACTTTTTGACTTAGACATTCATTAAAGGCATAGATAAGTACGTGTTTATACCTAAAATATCTTCAATAGCGATGGATTTAAAATGTGGGATCAAAAACAATTCTGGAAAGCGGAAAAGCTTTTAAGGTCTCTATATATATGTGTTGGTATGTTATGCAGTTTTTAATACTACCAAAAAATGGATTCCAAATACGAACTTTTAAAAAATGTATATCTATATTTGCTGAAATTTTATAAAATTTGCAAATATGCAAAAAAAAAACCTTTATGTCCAAAAAAAAAAATCATTAACAATGCGATCTGAAAAGATTGTAGATACTGAAAAAATAAGTAATTATACTTCTTATAGAGCACACGTTGAATAAAAATTATTTCTCTGTAACAAAAAAGTTTATGTATAAATATAAGAAAATAAGTTTTTCATTATATATATTTTAAATACATTTAAAATTAATTTCATCGTAGAAATATCTATAAATGTGCACAAAATTGGTTCAGAATCTATGACTTTCTGCAAATTTACAATTTTTCCACAATTTTAATTAATTAAAGAATGTTAAAGTTTCTTTTTTATATTATATTATGATATTTTATTGAAATAAAATTTCAATTGATACTGTTTTTCAAATAATTGTAAGAATTTCCCACCCATCATCATTACTCAGCTGCAGTAACCACAGCAATTAATTTTGTTACTCAACGAATTTTGAATTTTGCTTTCAGTTTTAATAAAGCAAAATTGTTCAGCCTGGTACACAAAGACGTCCTACGACGAACTGTTAAGCGGTTAACATTGTTTTACTTTCTATAGACTTTCTAATGGGTAAACGTGTGAACTCTCCAGCTGAGTTTTTAATACGAGTGCAGTTGCCAGGTAGGCGTCGGTGACTACGACAAAATAATGAACCCCGAAATGTGTGTGCCCACATCCTTTCAGTGTAAAAAAGTCAGAATAAAAGTCTATTGTTGGTATTACAAAAATCGGAAAATATGTACAAACACCAAGCCTGACCTGACCCTACACAATAAAAATTGACGTGTGGCTTTTGTTGGTTTAAAATGCATTTCTGGGTTGTTCGAATTTATACTGAAAAATGAGTGTCAAAGTGTTGCAATTACGTAGCACATTTCTTTGTTGCAGCAAACATTTTTCAAATGGGATTTTTATTTTATTTTATATAGAGAGAAAAAAAAATTAATTGTTGTTTTTAATATTTTAAATTTTTAATAATTTAACTCCTTTGTGTTTCAAAAGAATTCTTTGGAAAGGTGTCAGAATTTGACAACAATAGTGGAGTGTAACAATTAAAGTATAGAGAATCGAACCCTTTCATTGTTGTGAGTTTTACTAAAGACTCTCAAAGGTCAAATGGGAAAAATGAGATAGAAATCTTAAAAATTGTTGAAAGACAGCACAAGACTAATATCTTAATTTCTGGTATAGATTTCATCAACTTTAAAATCAATTATTAATTTTTTTTATTGGAGTTGAATAATTCCATATATCAAGTGAAAGTGAAACTGCATGACTTTTGGAATTGAAAACTAATTGTTAATTTAATCATTAGTTGAGAAAAGGTATTCATTATCAATAATAAGTTTTTTATCTATGTATTCTTATAACAAATTTGACAGCCTTCAATTCATGATATTTGCAGTCCAAAATTTATATACGGACATTTGAACCTATATAGTTGCTTCCTAAGACCACTGATGCTGGATATTTATGGCAGTATCTAAAATAGTTGTATGGGCTGCCTAAGAATTGAAACCTATTGTGAATAGAATAGATTATTTATATTTTATAATACTAATCTAAATAAAAAGACAACTTCATCTCTAGAAGTAATAGATACAATAAGTCTATGCCATGTATGAGAATTTTCTTCAACTTCATCCCTAGAAGTAATAGATACAATAAGTCTATGCCATGTATGAGAATTTTCTTGAACTTCATCTCTATAAGTAATAGATACAATAAGTCTATGCCATGTATGAGAATTTTCTTCAACTTCATCTCAAGAAGTAATAGATACAATAAGCCTATGCCAAGTATGAGAATTTTTTCAGTCTCTGTTGTATGTAAAAATGTTGGACTTGTTTCCAAGCAAACAAAATTGTTTGATATTGTAGCCTCTCACACAAAGAAACGTCAACGTATAACAATTGGACTGTATGTTCTATGTTCTTATTTATTTATTAATATACTATAATATTTAATTATATATAGTTCTAATTGCGAATAGCGGTAGATTATGCCATCACATAGATTATAGTTTTGCAGAGCTAAGTATATACCTTTTTGTTTTGGTACTTTTTTCCGTGACTAGCCTTCACTGTGTCCGTGTATTGTCATTAGGCAATACACCGGGGGCATGTGTCGATAACCATGTAAGTAATTATGGAGCCATGACAGTGACAAAGCTTTAGTTAGCAGATAAATGGAGGTTTATACACAAAACTAGACAAATCCTGTCTATAAAAAAGATATATTATGTTTTATGTTAATTTTGAAGATTTTATGCTTTAAAATAACACTTTTGAAACACAAATTCTAGGTAATATTAATAGTATCCGACGTTTCTTGCCTCTAAATAATGTTGGTACCCATATAGCTGACAACACTAAACCCATTATGTCCAACGAACATTATCAAATGGTGAAAGGTGATATTTAGGTTTGTACTAAGAGTTCAGTTTTCTGACTCTTGTAGACCAAAAGTTATATACGAATAATTAAATTTAATTAACATTTTTGTAAAAATTAATATAATATTTATAATAGTTAGCACATCTTATTGACTTTCCAGCTATATCATTTCGCTGTAATTTAAAAAAACCCTCGTTTAAATAGACGACGAACTGCCAGAACGGCTCTGATATGTATAAATTTGTTTTCTAATTAATATAATTAAAATAAAATTAGTATAATAAACTAATTGTGAATTAAATATTACATCATTTCAGCCACATTTTTTGTACAATTTATGTGGCGGATATAAAAAAAGTATAAAATAACAAAAATTAGTTATTTAATTGAATTGAAATTTGTTAAATAAAAATAAAAAGTTTCAAATTTATTAATTTAACTTAATAAAAAGTATTATCAACACTAATTTTCACAAAAGTCATTGCAAGTCTCTATTTTCATAAACTCTAAACCGATTTTTTAAAACAGTTAACCAAACAAATTTTTTAAAATTATTAATAATAAACAATTAAATATAACAAATAGACAATTTTTTTAATTGCAAATAATTTCCAAAACTGGACAAATTGACATTAAATTTACTATAAAAGGTGGACTTAGAACCAGTCAAAATCAAAGTATCTTCAAACGAACAGACGAAAATGGTCGCGAGTATGAAAGTCAAATTATTCTATACTGCCATTGTGGTTTTGATAGCTTCAGTTATAGTAAGTATCAATTAATTTAATACTTCAGCTTATATCCTAAACTAAATATCTACATAAAAAATAAATAGAGTGATGATAATCTGGACAAGATCTATAAAGAATGTTATACCGAATCCAGTGTTACAAAAGATCAAATGACAGCCTTCGTCAATAGTGGCATGAAGGAGCAACTCGCAACAAATGAAGTTAAGTGCTTCATCAAATGTGTTATGGAAAAACATGGAGCTTTCAAAAATGGACAATTTATTGCTCAGGAATATGCAGCCTTGTTAAAATCAGTACCAACATATAAAGATCGTGCAGTAGATATTGATAAGGCTATTAAGGAATGTAATAATCTGAAGGGAGCTAATGATTGTGACACTGCTCACAAAATTGCAACTTGTATTACTGAACATGGTTTCACTGAATAAGAGTTTCCTAGAAAAAATATTAATATAATATATTATATGTATAATATTGCATTCATATATTTTGGAGTACATGCAGACGAGTATTTGTTATTCCAGTGTATATTACCAAATAAATGCACATATGTATTTATATCAAAAGAATTTTTTTTTTCCAATTTGCATGAATTTAATAAAAAAATCCTGCTGATGTGAGCCAGCAGTTGATAGCATTACTACATACTCCTATCTTAAACAAAATCTGTTTACTTTGGAGCACATAGTAGGTGCTCTAAAATCTACCACGAAGTTGCAAGGCGTCCAGATATTCAGTTAAAAATCGAGAAATTGATATATTTCATATGCTTGTATTCCATTCCATAAATTTCAGTGATGATTTCAACTGATCTTTAATGAGTTCATAGACAGTTTAAATAGTATCTTCGATGATTATGGACTTGTATTGACCTACACATCACTGTAAACATTACGCATCCTAGTTTGATGTTCATTTTTGTATCGAATAATAATAGACGAATACAGTCGCGATCAGCCAACTAAAACCACGTCTTAAATGGAGAAAATATCCAGAGCAAGATTGATAATTCATTCCAATAATTAACGGAGATAGATGTAAGCAAAAGGCTTAATACCTAGTGGACTAGGTTTATCTTAGCCAGAAGGTATAAGCGTGGTGGGAAGGGGGCGGGGTTATTGACGAGCGCAGAGATGAACTAGTGATAGACTCTGAGGCCGGGATCACGAGAGCCGCGGTTGTACAGTGGGACGATGCGGTTATCTGAACCCCACTCATCGAGGTGTAGAGTGAAATATTGCGTGGGTTTAAATGGCATGACTTGGACGAGGTTGGCAGAGAGAATGCGGGGGGTAAAGGCAAAATTTGTACTAAAAAATTGCAGAATTTTAGCCTTATCTAAACAAAATGAGAATTATAACTGAACTGAATCCTTCAGAATCACAAATATTATTAGTTTTACATGTTTTAATATTTTTCCTCCGTGTTATCACAAAGGGCTATTATTTGTGCTTAAGTGAGCTGTGTTACCACTGCAATCTGATCTAACTTAAGTTATATTTAGAATTATTCTTCAAATTTTCGCAATCTAAACTATGAATACAGGCCATAGGAGATCGCAAAGAGACATTTAATAATGAAATAATATTATTGGGCTGGGAACACATTTGGGGTGTGAATATTGAAATTACACCCGATATGCATATATCTTTTTGTAGATAACAATATTTTCATTATATAAAAGAATCATTAATAACACGTACTGCAAACTGCACTAACTTACCCAATATTTAAAGTTTCCGATATAAATATGAATTAAAGTACAAAATATTATTAAATAACGTAATTTCACCTACCATATAATGTATATTATTTGATATAATCAAAGAGTGATACATTATTATAAAGAATTAAAAAATAAATCTATTTTACTGATACTTAGGTAGTAATTAAATCGAAAATTTAGAAATGTCATTGGTTGCAAAACTCATGTGTCTAAATATATTTTTGTTTAATTATTGTTATATTTATAAAAACATGAATTACATTTAATTAGTTACCTAATCAAACAAATGATACTCATCTGTACATACCCGAATAATTGATGTGCAATAAATTAACTCAATAATGAACTGAAATTATAGTATGTACGTTATAGAATATTTCAGATAATTTGAAATAATTATATACATGTAATCATTATTTTTAAAACTCTCGCCAATCTATATAAACCATTGATTCTTAAATAAACAATATTATTTCAAACGTGCCGACAAAGCAAAATGTTCAGATACTTAGCAGTCTGTGGAGTTCTTCTTTTGGTGGCACAACTCAGTTTGGTAAGTTTAAGGATATAAACTATGTAAATAATTTAATAATATTTATTTGTGAAAAATTATTTCAGTGCCATCCCACTGAGGAAATGAAAAAATTATTCGACACTTGTCAGGCTGAGTCCAATGTTAATATAGAAACATTAAAGGCTTTCCTGAAAGGTGGTATGAAAACTGAAGAAGCCACACCAGAAATTAAATGCTTCACAAAATGTTTAATGGAGAAACAAGGACAATTTAAAAACGGTGTCTTAAATGAAGAAGCGACTCGCAAGGCTCTGCTTGAACATCCTGAATTGAAAAACAAGGAAGCTGAAGTGAATAAGTTTATGAGTGAATGCAAGGGATTGAAAGGCAGTAATGAATGTGACACTGCTTTCCAAATTGGTCAATGTATGTTTAAAAAGGGAATGGATCTGTGAATACAAGTGAACTAGCGATAAAAAAATACTAAATTTTTTTGATATGACTATTGCAATATAATTTCTTTAATATAGAAAAACATAATATTTTATAACATTAGTGTTTTTATAAGATTTTTCAACACTATGTGTCGTTAGATGAAGTGAACAACGTCGAATTAATACCAAAATACTTACGAAACCTTTTTAGTTTCACATTCCTCGAGTTTAGACTTTTCACAACCAGTCGGATGCATTGATAGATGTAAATATTTGGATGATTTCTATGTTGAAAATGTCGTAAAATGAGTTGAAATAAGTAGTACCCATTTATATAAGCTAGATCTGGTTGGGATTAAGCAGTTATACAAAAGATATGTCGGCGTCCCTTCCTTGAGTTCTGAACTAGACAATTTAGATGACTTATGATAGGATCGGTTTTTCATACTGTGCTCAATCAAAAATTACAAAAAAAAAAATATTGGGTGTTTCTTTAATTGTTGCGAGTACCCAACACCAACAGCAACATACGTAGTGATGACTTGTGATAACACCGGTTTTCCATACTGTGCTCAAGCAACATTTCCAAAAAAAAGAAAGTCAGATGCTTCGTTAATTAGTGGGGTTCCAGAAAAATGATTTTTTCAACCGATTTCACATCATTCAGAACTACTTGAATATTCCAGATATTAGGTAAAGGAAAAATATTTTAGAAGTAAACTTTTGTTTCTATATTATCACATAGAAGTAACAATTGATCTATTTTTACTGTTCGCAAGTTAACTTTGTAGTGTCTAATGTCAAACTACAATAACTTATTTCTGAATTTACAGGTTAACCTTAATAATCTTTTAAGAATTCATTATATATTATTTATGTGATTTCTACTTTTCCTAGCTTTCAAAACATTAGTTACAATATCAAAATCTCATCAATTTATTCATGTTTTAACTAAATACGAGTAGTTTTCAACTATCTTATTTCCTGGTTTAAAATTACTCCAATATTGGAAGAAATTTATACCAGCTAATATATATGGTATATCGCCCACATCGGCAATCTTTAGCAGTAATTTCAATGGAATGTGCCATTGAATATAAACCATGTAAAATGTGAATCCAAGATAAACCAAAACCAAACTTTTCATGCAAGAGAGAAATTCCATTCAAATCATATATCATATTTCAAATATTAAGGTCAGAAATGCTAATAATAGCTTTCAAATTATGGAGTTGGATATCTGTTTGCAATAGAGGATGTTTGCATATCAAAACCCAATATAAAGAGATGTTAGTTAAAAAACTGTCTCTATGGCAATTGCTTAGTTCCCTTTCACCTGCAATGTTGAGTATGTTGATCTCTGATCTTTGTTTCATCAAGTTTTTGCAATAATCTGCTTAGGTTTTAGCTACCATTTGACAGCTTTATCTGCCGAAATGAGCTCAATGTTGATTTTATTTGCACAAAAGAATTTAATTTGGAACTTTTCCTTCAAATTTTCCTAAATAACCTGACAGGTCAAATTTGTAACCCTTTTGATGTTGTTGGTTATTGTTGTTTTCATCTTTGGGTTTTTGATCCAGATACTAAATGAGTGTACACTGCTCAAATGAAATATAGAAAAATAAAATTAAGTAAGAACTATTTAAATTACGAATGCTTGTAAAAGTTTTGTCTTCAAGAAATGGTATGAGAAGCTTTCCATACGTTCAGAGAAGATTATCAATCATAGATATGTAAGATTTCGTCCAAGGTTACGCAGCTTTTCTGAAACAAATGACAGTACTTTAAAAATACAATTAAAAATAAAATAGTTTTCGGAAATCCTTACCTCTGTAGTAGTATTGATTTTTCCTCATCCATTTTTGACAAAGAAAAGGAGTTTCGAAAAATTCGCTAAAAAAGTGGATTTAAATTATATATCTTTTAATAACAGTTGCCGAAAGATATCTGAATTTTAGGTAGTGTATGCTTGACGAGTTTTAATTACTTTGAGATTTGATAAATTATTTTATCTTGACTCTATTAGGAAAACAATATTTCAGTATTTTGTACTGAAAACATATAAAAGAATTAGAGCATTCGCTTTTACAAAACATTTTCAAAAGTTCTCTACCAAAAACTGCTTGAAGATTATCTACTTTTAGGCGCAAAAACTTAAAATGTGTTTCTCAAATTTTTTATTCTACTTTGAATATACGTATGAGTTAGTTATTTTTGTTAGTCTATCACTAAAACTAATTTTGATTTTATTTAGTTTATATATATAAATATTAGCCATTAGCACAATGAATTATTATTATGTTAAAAAGGTTATTGCACAGAAACTCCCTGGCACTTAACTATAGCTGTCTAAATTACCTTTTAAGTTGTGTATATAACTTTTATAAGAGAAGTTACTTGAACCTTTTAATCCATTAGCGGACTACGAAAATTCATCGGCCGATTTACCGAAATCCAATAGAGTATTCCATGTGATGTATAATTCCTCTGCGATGTACTTAAACTTGATTTATATTTAATATTAATAACATTAAGTTCACAGCTCTAGAAAAGTTCTCGTTTACTGTTAACTGTTTACTCTAATAAATCAACTTAATAAATCAACGGTTATATGATGTTAACAACAAAAAAGAGTATTCACGTTCTATTAATTTACTACAATATTTCCACGTGCTGTTAATATTATATATAAAAATATTTTCATAAGAGAAATATTTTTGAATAAATTTTTAAATAAATTTCAACAAGTCATGACATCTGCGAAGTGTTATTTATTGAATAATATTAACTAAATAATAACAAATTAGTCGCTAAAATACAATTCTATTATATTTTTTTTGTGATAATTATTATGTTATTATACAATGTTTTAGGAGTTATTACAATGTAATTATTCAGAACAACAGATTATCCAGAATGGGAAAAATTTTATAATAAAATTTTTGCCAAATTATCGAAATTGTGTGCATTCAATGAAAATTAAATAATAGAAAATAATATATTCGTATATAAAAAACCACAATTTTTATGCAAATTAATTGAACTAAATTATTGTGAAATACTAATTTGTCACCAAACAGTACATTAGTCGAGCACAAAAAAAATAAATGATAATTATTAGACTACAACAAATTACTAGTACAATTTGTATATATAAATTAAAGTAGCATTTTGGATGAGATTTTTTTTTATTGATAAAACTTTTATAAAATATTAAACACTTCCTACTATAAAAGTTAATCTTCCATGTAGCCTCACTTCAGTTGGATTACAGATTTACAAGTTAACACAATGCAAGTTGTCGCAATATTTGCTTTACTTACCACCCTCGTCACGTTGACGATGGTATGTGCAATTCTACTATTAAAAATTAAATAGGAAAATTTTTTAATTAAATATAAAATGTTTATTATCTAAAATATAATTAAAAATTTTGATTAAATCTTACACAGTGCGATAACCCTGATTTCAAAGCAAACATCATGAAATGCATGGAGGAGACCAAAATTTCTAGAGATGAACTTAAAGCTTTCTACGCGAATGGCTCCAAATCAGCAGATGCCAAAGATAATATTAAATGCTACATGAAATGTATGATGGAGAAAATGGGTCATCTGAAGAATGGTGTATTCGATGATGCTTCTGCTGCTCGCTCACTCAAAAACTGGCCACAACTTAAGGATCATCAAGCGGAAGTCGATGAGGCTATTCAAGATTGTAAAAAGGAGAAGGGTGCGAATGATTGTGAAACTGCTTTTAAAATTACTATGTGTTTAAAGGAGCATAAAGCTGCATTGCAGTCATAATTATGATTAAGTAAATTTTAACTGGGAGCTAGTGAATTACCTTTTTATCTAGTATCAAAAATGAACCAACTAAAATTTAGTTGGAAAAAATCAATAATTAAAAGTGAAGTGTTTGTTATTTTATTTTAATTTCTTCTAAATTTCAAGTGATTATGAAACTTAAATTTATTTACTAATTTTAAATGTGGAGTGATGAGACACATTTTTTATACCATTTATTGTAACAATAAGATTCTAAATTAAAGTAGTTTTTCTTTTTTCTCACTAAAAGTGTATGCATTTTCCTTAGACAATTATAAATGAAAACAGTTCAAGTTTTCAATAGCCCATTTATCAAGATCTTCTGGTTCGGGGTGAGGAAAGCAAAATTTAGTATAGTCAGAATGTAGCATCAATTCCAAGTTAATTACTTCAATTTCCTCATCAATATCAACATAGGCATTGGAATCATCACAAAATTAGATGGATTTTCTAGTCTAATTTTTCATATCCAGTTCAGTATTGTATATATCAATGTTAGATTGTAGACTTCCGAACTGTATCAGATCAGTATAATAGGTATTACATTTAACCGTTTTTCTTTTCTTTTTGAATCTGCACGTCAAGCTCATAGTTTACCATCATTACGAACTGGTAGTTTCCAAAAACTTTTGAAAATCGTTTAATTCAATTTGCAATTCCTTGGTTTCTAATCCCATAGTTGATAAACTAATCTATTGCAATACTATTAGGACACCCGTCTTAGGTGAGCGCAGAAAATTGCATAGATGAAGCTGTAGATTAGAGTTTAATTCAAAAGTTTTTCATTTGTCATCGTGATGGTGAGTTTTTCTATGTTTCTCAACAGTTCACACGTCTAATACCATGTTTCCATTGGTCTCATTTAGGAAATTTCTTAAGAGCTTTCATATAAATGAACTCATTGTAAATAAATCAACTGATTAAAGGTAAAAAATATCGAAGAACTTTTAAAATAAAAATTCCCGCAAGGGAATTGGAAATATTTTTTGCATTTTTATGTAAAATGTAAACCAACAAGCAATTTCAAATATATAAATCAAGTCATGCTAATGGAAACGATGAAATTTTAATTTTATCAGCACAAGTTATTTTAGATGCAGTGGAGACATGATTTTTGTTACAGAAGTTCCGTCATTATTTAAAATATGGAACTAGTGTTGTCACTGCTCGATTTTAATAGAGTTATGGGTACACTATTTCGAAAAACAAACGTTAGACCTCAACGAGTCCATGAGACTGCTGAATGATGAAAACTGACATACGAGTATCTAATCGATTTATGTGAAAATGGTAGTTCTTTGTTGAGATAATATTATATTAGAAACATTTTAACATACCATTCATAGGTAGAAGTTCTCAGTGTTCCATTTATATGATATTTATTGTAATGAAAAAAAAAACCAAGACGTTTTCAAACTTCCGATTGCCGGTGAAATCCATAATAGTGTAAAGAATAATTAAAAATTATTTATGTCAATTAAGTTAGGTTATAGTTACTTATAGTTAATGTATAATGTTAAATTTGTAATATTAAATAACCTGTATATAGTAAAGAAGTAGTAGCACAGCGAATCATTGCATCTGCACTATTGTAGAGAATTACTTTGTTAAAATTTTAGAGAACCTTTTATCTCAAATATTTCTTGTGTTTATTAAAGAATATAAAATTGTTAAAATTTTATTAAGTAATCTATATATATATTACATTATTACATATCATATAGCTTCTGTACTATTGTAGAGAATTACTTTGGTAAAATTTTATAGAACCTTTTATCAAATATTTGTTGACTACATGATGCAATATAATATTGTTGAAATTTCTTCAAATTTATTGACTACATATTTGCATTCAGAATTCTATGAAAGTCAACAAACTTTCCAAATTCGAAATAAAGCGAAGTCAGTCATAAGCAGAATTTCACATAACAGTCACATGAAATCTTAAGCAGTTAAACTTGGCCTTCTTGGAATTGAAATGTTTCGCATTTGACAGAAGGTTGATGACAGTTTTGGTGCTTCATTTAAGCAAAGCTATAAATTTTGCAATGATCTCATTCTCAACGAACTAAGAGCATTGCAACATGTGCTGAAACTCAAACAATGAATCTATAACTCATGTAACACTTTTCAGTTTAGACGCATACATTTCATTTCATCATTCACGTGAACTCGAGCTGGGCGCAGAGATTTCACTTCAGCAAAAACTACTGCAACATTCAATTCCGTTTCAGTTTCAAACTAATTCTTAACGCTTTTGTTTTGAAGTTTTCTGCTTCTGCATTTATTGTGCAATATTCAAATTGACTTTTGCATAAGCTTTCAGTCACAAAAAAAAAGAAGGATTTATAGTATATAGTATATATGCCACTTTTGTGTGCTCCTCCTTTGTATTGTCGTCGATACAAAGGGGACCCATTGTACCAGAGTGTAACACTTGTTTAAGGAATCAAGTGCTTTGGCTTGTTGTGTAGCTTAAACCATGAATAGTCGTACTACTCAATTTTGCATTCAAAGATATTCTGTATCTCTGTATGACCTTTTCAATGCAAAGTAGCTGTTACTTTTATTTTTAATTTTTTTTTTTCGATTTTTTCTTTATTTGTGTGCTGTTAACTCCTTCAATTTTTAGTTGCTGATGATTTGCTTTCAACGACGAATTTTTTATTTCAAACTAAAACTGTCGGTGCTTCCAAATTGTTAAAAGTTGTCATGGCAAGAAGATTTCTACTTAAAACTTATTTTTTTCACCAATTTCAATTCTTTTTCTTCTTGCTGTGATTCACTTGTGCAGGTTTATATTTTGAGTTTTTAGGAATTTTAATTTTTTTCTTCTCATTTCTTGTGTCCGTTTTTCAGCTTTTCAGCTTTTCAAATTCAAATTCAAATTCTACTTCAACTTTTTGTCAATCTGCCAAAGACCAATGAACCTTTACAGCATTTTTATGTCGTTAGTGACTTTAGTACTTGTCTTGCATTTATTGTTGATTTATGTTGCATCTCCTGTTTTGTATAGTTTAGTACATTGCCACTCTTCATGTATGGCACTGCACTACACTGCACTACACTGCACTACACTGCACTACACTGCACTGCACTGCCCAACCCGGGTCTTATCGATTTCATGTGACACTTAAGGAAAATGATTTATTAGTGGAAATTGTTAGATTATTTGACATTTTCATAGAAAAAGAAAGGATTGTCATTGCTCCGCTTCCCTGCTCGTTTCTTGGCTCTTCATTGTAAATACTTCCCAACGCTCACTCGCCTGATAGTGTACGGGTATATCAAGATTTTTAACTTATTAAAATTGACAAATGATTTCTGTAGATAAAGACAAATAAAGGGAAAACCCTTTGTAATCATATTAAAGATTGCTGCAGTTATGGCTTGTGTTGTTGCAGTTGTTGTAGTTATTTTAGTTATTGGATGATGATGATGATGATGATGATAGTGATGATATGGTCTGCATGAAAAGTTACTTTTAATTAGTAAACATGGAAACAGGTTGTTTAACATTTGACTTGGTATGTGTGTGACATTAAAATTCAAGGAAATTTGTTGACTTATAGATACTATCGGTGAGTTGGCTTTCTACAGAGTTACATGAATTTATTGTCTCTAGAGGAAATAATAATTATGTGACATAAATTAACTTTGTTATAAATGCTATCAAATTTTCTAAACAGCATTTAAAACAGTCAAGCAAAGTTAAAGTGTTTAAAAATAATTTCAAGTAATATATCATTCTTTAACACTGGAATAATTTAAATCGACGATTTTCTTTAAAAGAGTCGAAAGGCAGTGAAGACTATGGAGTTAAAATAATGGTGTTAAGTTTTGTCTGCTTGCAAGTTAAAAATCGAAAGAGATTAAAAAAGTATTTGAAATATATTGCTATAGAGAGATGTTTTAAAAAAGTGATGAGTTTAACAGGACTTAAACAAAGCAAAGTACTAATTAAACCGTACTCCTACATAAACATTCTTAAATTATCAAAAGGTAATTAAGGTTGTTTCATTACAGAACTTTATAGTCTGAAATATCACCATTATAAACTACGATTATCTGCTAATTCGGAGTGTAGTTTATGCCTCAAAAATGAGGAAACTACTATGCATATTGTTGTGATTGTTCAGCTTTAACAAAGCACAGAAGAAACTTATTTCATATGGAATTTCTGTTACCAGCATATATTAAAAGCGCCTCACTAGATTTAGTTCTGAACTTTCTTCAGAAAGCCTTAAAGGACTTTGTGTAATTAAAAGTGAATTTGTTACAATAGGACACTTTTTGCCGCAGTACCGGCTTTTGGGCGATTTCACGTCAATAATTGGGAAAAAAAATGGATAAAATGTATGAAATACACGGTTAGGCGTTTGAAGTGCTGCCAACACTTCAGATAGATATACACACACGTATATCTCTCAAACTGATATTGCCAACTACATGAAATTCATACAAATAATAGCTGATTATATTACTTATAAGCTACTACAAGCTTTTGGAATTCAAACGTAATAGTGTTATTATGTTATATATGGCTGGAAAATCACAACCAGCTATTGTTCGTGAGCTCAAACACCTCAAAGTGAATAAAATGTTTGAGTATCGTACCATAAGTCGTTATAATAGTACAGACAGTGTCGCGGTGGACGAAAAAAAACAGCAACAATACCTGAAATGTTTCAGGAAGTGAAGACTCGACTCGATCAATTCGTATAAAAATCCATAAAAAAAATGACCAGACTCTCGACTTTATAAATGCTACTTGTTGGTTCTAGTTCTGCCTTCTTCTACCCATTATTACAAGGAATTGTGGATTTAAAACAGTTTTATCAGCTCATTGAGGAGGTTTCGTTTCTCCACTTCAACTAACTAACTACATATGTATATTAGATTCATACATTTTTTTTTAAAAAATTTTATATATTGACCCAAATGACTAATAAAATCTATTAAGCGGAAAAATTTATCTAATTTAAATATTTTAACATTTTATTAAAATCATTCATAAGAATTGTAAATAACAGTAGCTATGAAATTTTTGTATTTTCAGATCATTAATCTTTATAACTTTAATAAAATAGTAGCTAAGTAACAAG